TCTAGGGCCGGCCCTGACACTACCCCTCCGTGACGGAGTGAACTCCGTGGAGTGACACTCGCAGCTCAATATGGCTCCCTCCTGTCAGATGGAGGGAGTAAATACAGCCAGCGGCAAGCTTTGGAACATACTCCCCTCTCTCCGGCATCTGATTTTTATAAGCTTCTTAGTTTTTGCAACAGTCTGTACATATACACAACTTTATAATAAAATGCACACATTTACCTTTTTCTAGACTAAACACAGATCCTAAGTTAAAAAAATATGAGGTTATCATGAGGTTGTTAACATCGCAATTTATCAGTGGATGTTTGCTGGAACTACTTGTAAACAGCGTGTTTCCTGACGGACACACACAGCGTTGAGACCGGTCAGGTAGAGACCGGTCTCAAGTCAGCACCGATGCAGACTCGCTGTTTGATGGCTTGATTTGCCACGAATTACACATATGATGTTTGTCAATTTAAAAGATAATTTTGCTTGTCAAAAAAATAAAAATGTGTCGTAAAACTGTGAAGTAACACTTTTTTAAGTGTGAAACCGCTCAATGAATACTCGCACCACACACCAAGACGGCCGTCACGTTGGCACATTTCACTTCTTTCTTTCAGAATGAGGCGGTGAAAATCACTACAAGTCTGGGCATGTTCCACACACAAGGGGAGTTAGTCGGTTCGTAAGAGCCAGCATGCGGGACCGGGATTCTGGGATTTGTAGTCTTTCTAGCTGCGTATTTTTCATAGTCTTATATTTCAACAGTTTTACGACAAACTGTGACTTTTTTTACATGGAAATTATTTTTCAAGATTGACAAACATCATATGTGTAATTCGTGGCACAATTGAAACGGGATCGAAAGATAATCTTTCTCTCCCCATTGACTTCAATACATAATTTTTCCGAAATAAGGTCCCATGGGTCGGAAGTAGGTGGGCGGGACTTCGCCTCTCACGCAGTTTTTTCTGACGTCATAAACACGTGGTTGGGTTTGTGGCTGTCAATCATATAACGTCACCGCGTCATCTCTACGTGCCCCGCCCTACGCTGGTCAAGTGTTTCCGCCAAGATGGTTGTCGGTGCCTTCCCTATCGCCAAGCTCCTCTACCTCGGAGTGAGGCAGTTGAGCAAGCCTATAGCGAACCGAATAAAGGCCGGAGCCCGGAGAAGCGAGTTCTTTAAGAATTACATCTGTCTGCCCCCGGCACAGAGTGAGTAACCGAGCTAACGGCTACCAATGACCGCTACATTGCAGTGTCAGACACCCGGACGAGAGATAATAGGCAGCGACGACCAATGAGATTGTAGCTTTTCAAGACCGCTTACCATGGGTATATCGGTTCGACCAATAGAAGCACGCCAAGGTCGAAGAGGGCGGGTCTTGTGTGTCATTGAAATGTTGCATGAAGCTTTCGCTAAATGACAGTGAAAGGATTTTGCTAAACGTCCCGTTCAAAAAATGAAAAGATTCAAAGCAGCCACTGTGCTCTGTTGTTTAGACACACCTGTGTTTATTCGTTTGGGCATGTTTAGACACATTGCTTTTAATTCGTTTGGTCATAATGTAATTCATAGGCTACTGCATGTGTTACAGATCATTTTTAAAACATACAATCAAAACGAAAGAAATATAAACCAAACAAAATGTGTCACAGAGCTTAGAAGGAGGGCCCATTTTATATAAACATTTTTTTAAGGTATGACATCGAGAACATTTGGATTTGTTCATTCATAGAAATATGTATCTCAGTGAAGTTTTAAATATTGTTTAAATGGACAATAACATAGACTTGACAACTGATGACGATTTTATTTTATATTCTTTTGTCTTATATTTATATGCCACACCTGATATTGTTATACTATGTTACTACATTTCACCTTTTACTTTATCTCATAGCCCATACTATATCATAATTTACCCTTTTATACTACGATATTATGTTGATATGTTTTGCATCAACACTCCTGTCACTTTATCTGGTCATTTTTGTGTTGAATGCATTTGATCTATTGTTTTCTGTCTATTTTTATGTTATATCCCTCTTATTATTTATTCAGAAATAGGTTTATTTCAGTGCAGGTTTACACAAGTGTACACAAGAAATTAGCATTGCTGTATAAGGGTGTTTACATAAACTAAGTATCAAAACTAGAACATGGCATTGTATCAGAATTGTATGAAAAGAGCTGTGCACTTTTTCAAAAGAGGTAGATGAATTTGCAAATAAACAGAGATGCGCAAGGTTTACAGTATGAACATGGATACTACATGGATATTTCAATAATGTGATTAATTGTGCAGCTCTTAACAAGGAGTTCTTACATTTTATCATTAAAAATATAAATACTGAAAGTCTAACACACTGGAACTGCATCTGCTCTTCGCAGTTTACCACTGGATCGAGATGAGAACGAAGATGCGGATCATGGGTTTTCGGGGGGCCACCATTAAGCCTCTGAACGAGGAGCTAGCTGCAGAGCTGGGCGCGGAGCTGCTGGGTGAGGGGATCATCTTCATCATCGGGACTGGCTGCATGGTGCTGGAGTACAGCAGGCAGGCCACCAACTCCCGCCACAAAGAAGAGGAGCAGAACGAGACCATCATCAGCCTACAGACTCAGATAGCAGAGCTCGCTATGACCACAGAGACTCTCGACGCTCGGCTCAGAGAGATGAATAGACAACTTGTGTCATTACCTCTTCCCAACAAGAAGTGATTCAATGGGTTATATGCTACAGTATGTGACATGACCCTGTTTGTCGTGCACAAACATAGTACTGCCATGTGTACAGCTTGATATGCCCATTAGGTTGGGTGGAAAGGGTGGATACAAATCAGGGTGCTGTGGATGTGGGTGCATGGAGATTGCTATGATATTCATAGTGTATTCCTGTGGTTGATCGTGCATGTTCATTATTAAGTTGTACATAAACATTGACAATAAATTGCGATGGCGTCCTTGAAATTGAATATATTTTAAAGCAGCTCCAGCAAATCCCTTTCCTCTGATTTCCAGTATTTCAATTACCTTAATCCTTTTCATGCTCCATTTGGTGCTTCAATTGTGGGATCATTTGGCATTGTGTGCACTTGATTGAAGGAGCCAGAAAAAAATATATATTGGGCCAATATCTGGATTTCTTTAAGAAGTGCGCCCGTACAGGTTCATGGACATGTGGTGTTGTATTTACGCTATAAATCCATTTCATGGTTCATGTAAATTGGATGTGATGAACACTGTAAAAGGAGGGTGTAAAATAAAATGGTTCCCTGTCTGATGAGAGTTATTGGAAACCTTTAATTAAGTACTAGTAACACATTGTTTAAAAAAAACTAGATGGTGGAGGACCTTAGATGTAAAGGTCCTCCAATGAAAACCCATTATCAGGAACATGTACATTACTGTACGGTAATCGAAGTAAAATGCAGAAAATGTTCTCTGACTATATTATTGAAATGTCTGAAGACATTTTTGTAAAAAAATTATTACCCGTCCCCTTGTGTGTTATGAAGGTTTTTATGCATGTAAACGGTCTGCAAAGTCACAAACCCTCAAAGTACACCCTGTTGCGAGTAAAACTCTAACACAGAAAATACCTGTCTATGCTGCCCCAGAACACCTCGTTGGAGATGTATCTTTTTCCATTGTTTTCTTCCTGGGTACAGTGACGTGCCCATACCCAAATAGACCAATCCGTGGAGCCGTTACGTTACGTCCGTGGACTCGTTAGGTTAATTCCGTGGATTGGTCCATTTGGACCAATCCACACACACACTCAATCTTTTCTCAGCTGCAGCACCGCCGATTTCTCCTCCCTGAGACGACGGGACCCGGCGAGGCTGTGAGTCGGTATGTGAGCACACACACAAACTCCCAGCCAGGCTGCGGGTGTGTGTGTGTGTGTGTGTTCGGGCTGGTTTCGGGCTGGGTTTCGCTGTGTCTCGCAGATGGCCACTGGGCTCATAGGGAGGGGGGGGCAGGAGCTCCAACAAGCCGTTTAGGACAGAGAGTGAATACACATACTATACAGAGATGCTGTATGAGAAACCAATGTGATTTTGGAAAATTGCACAATATAAATCTATTTTAGTATACCTCAACAATGGAATTGTGATCAGTAGAAATGGCCATGACATGGGACCTTTAATCAGGGGCGGACTGGGACTAAAAATCAGCCCGGGAAACTCGACCGGCCGAACTCTGTACCAATTTGATTTGACTGATAATTCACAAAAGATCAACTACAGTCAACCCAGACAGGGAATCACAGCAGGGAGTGTGTGTTAAACAAGCAATTTGTATGCATTTTCTGTGAATATTGAATGAGAGATTAGTTTTTGTTCTTTTCTTTTGTTCTTTAGCATTAATGCATACTTAGTATGCTTTTTTTTTGGGACACATTTTGTGTTTTATCCTCTCTTGAGTGAAATCCTGAGATATAGGCCAACTGTATTCAAACAGCAACCTAAACAACCTTTAAAAAATAAGTCTTACAACTGGTAGAGTGAAAAGCACATTGTTTCTCAATTAAATGAAGGGGCATAGAACTGGAGTGTGGCATAATATAAAAAGACTCAAGTTAAGCAGAAACCTAAAAAGTACCTAGAGTTTGAGTAAAGGCACCCCTGCTCACGATACAAACTTGACTAAAAATGTCAAATTGAGATAAAACGACCCCCTCATGATGAGTCATGAATGACTCGTAAACTGCGAATTTATTGGACCTCAGCTGTAGGCCGAAGAGATAAGGGCGGGGAGGTTTTGAAACTACACTACCCATAATTCGTTCGCATGTAAACACCGCCTCACTTCCTACTTTGGAGTGTTCCAAGTGTTAGACGAGAACAAACACACAAACTAGGTTTATATGTAGGCTTACCCTTTTATTTGGCTGTTTAACTACAACTCACTTTAACAAAGGTTTTATTTAGCAAGCACAACGTGGGCACCTCGGAGGTTAAATAGTAGAAGAATTAACCTTTGAATATGCGCAGGTCTTGTTTACTTCCGGTGGTTGGTTTCGGTCTGGTTTCCGCCCCATAGAGGGCAGCAGCGACACTCCATCTGGTATCACAACTGACCCGCGCAACTCGCATGAGACCAGGTAGGCCTCAACCTTATTTTTATATTATTTTGCATTACAACCATATTATAAAGTGGGCAAACTATGCATGGACCACCTTACTTGCATGCAACATAGAAAAACGCGTGCAACTTGCATAGTTTTAAAGTTGTATTAAACATTGCTTGTCTTGCATCGGTTGTCGGTGCGTTAGCGCTAGGCTAAGAAGGTTACCAACATTAGCCACGTAGCGATAACTTGAATCGAAGACTGCAGTAATATGTTTACTTTTCATATACCTATAAAGGTAAGGGTAGTAAAGCTTAAATTACTTAATGGTTTATAGATATTTTTAAACCAGGTACAATGGGTCTGTATATATCCATATCTGCTAGCCTAGCTAACCTGCTAATGTAGCCTGTTTGGCTCAGACACAGTGCCGCCATCATATATCGATTTGAAAGTTGTAAGCGGTGTTGTAAGCTCTAGCGTTACTTCAGCTTGTTTTACTGTCTGTTTTTGATAGTAAACTAATAAAGGAAACACACATCTGACACAATGAGTTTCGACGTGAAGAAACTGAAAGTCAACGAACTGAAAAAGGAGCTCCAGCGCCGCGGCCTGGACAGCAAAGGCCTGAAGGCTGATCTGGTGGAGAGGCTAAAAGCCGCTCTTCAGGCCTCCGAGCCGGGGGAGCAGGAAGAGAACTTCGGCCAGGCGTACCAGGACAACGAAGATGGAGAGGATGTCCCAGAGCAACAAGGTAAGCCCCATGCATGCTGTTTATTTAAAAATAAATGTTCTGTTCCATCAGACTTTGATTAAAGATTAGATTGAACTTTTTTATTGAAAAGTACAGTTACCAAGGCAACGAAATGCATTTTAGAATTTCGCCAGAAGTGCATGAAAGTAAAGTGCAGTGTTATGCACGATTTGAGAAAATATATAACAATAACAAGAAGAAGAAAAAACAGATGTCTCAATTACGATATAGGAGCGATAAGAAAAAAAAAGTTGAATTATTCTCATTTATTATTAAAAACATTTGTATTAAGTCTATAGAATACGTTTTTTACGCCTTTAACAGATATAGTTATTATGCAATTTGAATAGTCCATGCTTACGTATTGTCCTTTTCAATAAAATGTGGATTAATGGTGCAGCACTATTATGCCCAGATCATTATATTAATTAAACGGTCATATGTGAAGTAGATGAATATGCACTTTCCATGTAAGTGCTTTATTTTTCTGTTCTTATGAGCTTGAGAGGTAATGATTTTGAATGTTCATTTTTAATGCAGATGAAGAGGGAGCTGAGGACTCTGGTGATGTCGACGATGGCGGGGATGATGATGGGGATGATGATGATGTTGAAGGTGAAGTCGACAGTGAAGGGGCCGCCGATGTTGTAGCAGACGCCAAAGGGGCCGCCGATGTTGTAGCAGACGCCAAAGGGGCCGCCGATGTTGTAGCAGACGCCAAAGAGGATGACGATGTTGTAGCAGACGCCAAAGGGGCCGCTGATGTTGTAGCAGACGCCAAAGAGGATGGCGATGTTGTAGCAGACGCCGAAGAGGATGGCGATGTTGTAGCAGACGCCGAAGAGGATGGCGATGTTGTAACAGACGCCGAAGAGGATGGCGATGTTGTAGCAGACGCCAAAGGGGATGGCGAGGTTGTCGCAGACGCCGAAGGAGACAGTGATGGGGATGTTGAAGGTGAAGCTGGGGCCCCCCAAGAAGAAGATGAGGGTCGGGATTCAGGTGGTTACTACGAAGATGAAGAGGCAGAAGGCGAGCCTTTTGAAAGCCAGCCGACTTCAGACTCCTGTCACAGCATGCCTGACTTCACAGCAGATGTCGAGTTACACAAATCCGACGCGGTGCCTGAGGAAGAAGCCGAGCCAGAGGAGAAAGTGGAGAACAAACCAGGTGATTTTCCATCACCTATATCACCTACATAATAATGAATGCTGTGTTGTAATGTAATTTTGCCTTCGTTATGGGCAAGAACTGATATGGAATATGAAAGGGGATGACTCAAAATGTCGTATTTCAATGGAATGCTGTAGCTCCTTTATTAATAGTTTGGGGTGTTTATAATATCATATTTTGGATGGCACTGACCACATTAAAAGATAGTTAGCATAAGTGTTGTTATTATTTAGTTCGGCCTAAGTTACAGGTACCAGGGAAACAGAATATAAGCAAAGATAAGCAAATCTTTAAAACATCTCCAAATATGGTTTATTGCAAAGCTGTTATCTTGACTAATATTAGTTGTACATTTGTAATACTGACTCTAGCTCACTGTTCATGTATTATTTCAGAAGTCAAAGTGGAAGTGAAGATGGAAGATGAACCAGAGGCTGCTGGGAACACAGAGCAGGAAAGTCAGAGGACAGAACATCAGGACGGAGCCGTTCAGGGAGAGCAAATCAAAGTGGAATCTGATAAAGCCGGAAACAACAGCCGCAAGAGACCGCACGAGGAGAGCCGGGGCTACAACTACTACGAGCATCGCGAGGAAAAGAGGTATGCTCACACCAACACTATGTTATTAAACCAGCAGTTGACTGTTGTGGGTGGGAATGTTGTGGTTGAAAGTGTCCGTTAACATCATACTCTCCTGATATTGTACAGATCTCGCACACCCCAGCCCCCTGCTGAAGACGAAGAGGAGAATATAGACGACACTCTGGTTACAATTGATACGTGTGAGTAAGAGGATAATGCACATCTCTGCACAGGCAATGATAACTTTTGAGAAATGTAGTCAAGGCCATTCAGTATGTAATGTTCCATATAATAGTAATATTTGCATTAACCCAAGATCTGCAGTGCTGCTTGTCATGAGTTGGAATGTTATAGCACACTATTGAGAGTTGATCACCCAAAAAGTAGCTTTTTAAATATATTTTTCTCTATAAAAAATGATCTTAAATCAAAACTCACCTTCTCCTGGCTACTTATAATGGGTTTTTTATTATTATTTTAGGTGGGTTGTTTTTTAATGATTTATATATTACTTTTTTTCTCAAAAGCTCTAAAACAACAGCTGCAGACATTTCACAATGATTTTTCAAAGTTGGTATATACCAAACACTGAGGAGTCTCCTGAAAAATGTATTATGAGGAGGCACTGATTTGATCATACAAGTACTTTTTGCTGTAACAAATGTAGGGTTGCAAAATTCCGGGAATTTTCAAAGATGGAAACTTTCCATGGGAATAAACTGGGAATTTTCTAAATTGAAGGTTGGCTCTTCATAGGGAACTTAAATATAGTTGGGGAAAGTATATTTTAGCATAATCTTGACTAAAACAAACAGATGCCATTCAAGTACACTTGAATATCCATGCCATAGCACACTGCTTACTGCATGGCTATTGAGACCACACCCCCTACATGCGCTGTGCATTCCTCCATCACATGCACAGACGAGTAATATTTAACTCAACATTCCTGTTTTCGTTCTTCAATGAAACAAATAATTGTTCAATAAAATACTTAAAAAAAAAAAAAAAAAAAAAAAAAAGATCTTTTGAAATGTCATGTTTTTTGTTTAATTTTGCATCGAATATTTCCAAAATTCCCCAGCTTAACTTCCCATGGAAACTTTCCGGAAATTCTCCGCCCCTTTGCAACCCTAAACAAATGACAAATTATCTGCTTTCTTAAAACCTTTTCAGACAATGTCGCTGAATGTTTTGCACGCATGTGTTGGATCTGTAATAACAGACCATCAAAATGTGTTCCGCTCTTTTCAGACAACTGTGACCTGCATTTCAAAGTGTCCAGAGACCGCTACAGTGGTTACCCTCTGACCATCGAAGGCTTTGCTTACCTGTGGGCCGGAGCCCGAGCCTCACACGGCATCACCAAGGGCCGCGTGTGTTATGAGATGAAGGTACTACATTAAAGGTTTTTTAACTCTAAACAAGTGTGCTTACAACCATCAGATGGCGCTGTTCACGTTTCATCAGGTGACCCTGGTTCTTGACCATATGTGACCACACGATAAATACATTTTTGAAGCCTGTAAAGGGAAAATGACAGCTCTCACTCGCCACTCTGCTGTTCCGTAGCGCAGCTCCCCCTCCCTCCGGCTGAAATTATGAATGTAAGGCGTATAGTAATCATAGATAACACGGCAGGGTCCGTTACAGTTTGTTTTCATCTGATTTCAATTAAACAAAGTCTTGGCTTTCAGAATATTAAACTTGTTTCGGCAAATTCAGATGATAAATACAACTTTGAAGCTTGTAACGGCATATTTACAAGCGGAGAACGGAGTAACTTGGCGTCACAGCAGGCATAACAACAGCCGGTGTTTCTCGTGAGTGTTTTCTCCGGGAAACAAACACAATACACACAAACGCAAAATGACACACACACACACACATACATACACACACACTCGCGAGCTTCCCCCAGACCAGTAATCCAAACTAAAATATCTTCCCTCCGTAGTATTTTGATCATTTGCTCCGCTAATAATCAATCAGATCGATGGATTCCAGAGAAGAGGAAACTTTGAAGGCCTTTTTCTCAAAATGATGACTCGGTGACAGTCATTATATAATGTGACATATTTTGCTTAATATTTGGAGTACAAAAACAATCTTGATATCATTAGAAAGCTAGGAATGTCCTCTTTCCAACAGTGTATACAACTCAAAATGTGTCTTCGGGTCAATGTGACTTCGATAGAGCAGGTCACATATGTATTCATTACTTCTGAAACATCAGATGAACAGCTCTTTTGTTTATAACAGTATGTTGACAATATAGAGTTTAAAAGCTCTATACTGCCTAACCTTAAGCCAATCAATGTTATTTAATGTAATTTAGGAGATTTTACAACCAAAACCGTCATTATTCATCAACTCACTACAAATGTGATGACTTGTTGCTGTTCTATATTTCCAGACAGTCCTCTCTAGGTATTTTAACCTGATCCATGTTCCGCTCTTTAGATCAATGAGGAGATTCCTGTAAAGCACCTGCCCAGCAGCGAGCCGGACCCCCACGTGGTCAGAATCGGATGGTCCCTCAACCACTGCAGCACTCAGCTCGGTAAGACGAGGAGGAACTGCCCAAACACTCAAAAGTAGGCTTGACATATCGTGACATGAATATAAACTAAATATTTTATTCCTGATTTTGAAGGTGAGGAGCCCTTTTCATTCGGATACGGAGGAACAGGGAAGAAGTCTGCAGACTGTAAGTTTGAAGACTTTGGCGAGAAGTTTGGGGAAAACGACGTCATCGGCTGTTACATTGTAAGTAATGATCTTATTTTAATGAAAACATAAAAGAAGAAGCATAAAGCACTTTTTGAGTTAATTTAGGCCTAAACTAATTTACAAGCACTTACTATGGTATGATCTTGCTTGGAGTGAACATATCTGCGCAAAAATCATAATCTCGATTATTTGGGTCAATAATTGTAATTGCGATTATTAAATGGGATTATTCATTGACTTTGAAAACATCCATTTATTGTACTTTAAAACAAATACAAATAATAATTTGAACTTTTTAACTGTATAATTATAAGTTCAGGGTAATCAACTGAAAAACCAATACAAAATAAAATAAAATAAATTATACATTCATGTCTACATTTAAATAAATAATATCAAAATAATAAATACCAATAAACAAGATCAACAAACATGTTGCAGTGCACTGTCACAACCTGAAAACTCCTTAACATATAGCCAATATTTTGGTAAAACATATTCAACATATTCCACTCAGTTAAACATTAAAGGCTGGCCCACCGTCATGGTCCAGAAGTAACAGGAAATAAATGTTGAACTACAATTTAAGACCAAATAAAAATGTTTTGGCCACCATGGCAAATGCTGGTAGGGCTGCTCATGTCATCTCTTAAAGATTTTTTGCTAGAAACACCAGCCTGTTTACATGGTCTGGTTTCAGAGATGAGCGCAGGCAGGTGACAATATTGCCACCTGTACTGAAGACTAGGGCTGCTCGATTATGGCAAAAATCATAATCTCGATTATTTGGGTCAATAATTGATATCACGATTATTAAAAACGATTATCCATTTACTTTGAAAACATCCATTTATTGAAAATATGCTTGAACAGTATGTTTATAACAGTTGATTACCCTGAACTTGAAGTATAATTCAACTGAAAAAAAAAAAAGTAATAATAATAAAAAAACAATCGTTTTATTTCGATTACGTTGTTTTCGTAATTGTTGCAAGCCATAATCGTAATCGCGATTTAAAATACGATTAATTGAGCAGCCCTTTCTTGATGGGTACTTATTTGATTTTATTATGCTATTCAAGACTCTACTCTTATCGATGTGTTTTTCGCTGCTGTGGGACAGATGAGGGATTTCTGATTATTTTGCTTTTTCAGGACTTTGACAGTGCTGATGAGGTGGAGATGAGCTATTCCAAGAACGGAGTCTCCCTAGGAGTGGCTTTCCGGACTACAAAGGAGGCGCTGGAAGGTCGCGCCCTGTTTCCTCACGTCCTCGTGAAGAACTGTGCTGTGGAGTTCAACTTCGGACAGAAGGCCGAGCCGTACTTCCCCCCGCCGAGCGGATACACCTACATCCACGAGCTCAGCCTGGAGGATAAGATCAGGGGCACCAAGGGGCCCGCCAGCAAGTCTGAGTGCGAGGTATAGCACCTTTTTTTTATCTTACACAGTATACACAAAAAACTGACAATAACAATTGACAAATCGTGTGTGTTTGTGTGAATTGTCAAGGATACATCATTAGTTTATTAGTTGTAATATCCAACTGCGGGGTCATTAGTTTTGTTTTGTATACCTCACACATTTTCCCCCATCTATTCTATAAAGCATGAACTTGATTTCTCATCATGGTTATTTTTTCTATTTCATATTTTCATTGACAAGATCCTTCCATTTACAGTTTATCAAGTTATCATCTTAAAACCAATTTGATTCTTCTTCTTTACTGTTCTGGTGTTTTCGATTAGTTGGATAACTGTTTTTTCTAGAGAGAAATATTTGACAGTTCTTTTATGTACACACTCAAAGCTTTGCATTACCAAAGTATATGATATGGTTTACCTGTTCCTAGGCCTGTCACGATAATTAATTTTGTTGAACGATACATTTTCCCGGAAATGATTGCGATAAACGATAATATTGTCGGCACCGTTGTAAGACCATTTTAGACCACTGACATAATCATAATAATTCAAGTACATCCTTTCAAACAGAGCTTTTTTATTGAACATTCAACATTGCAAATGAAATGTGAAATAATATTCAAATATATAAATTACATATATAATAAATAAACAAATACATTAAATTGTAAAAAAATTATTAAATCACACACAACCAAAACAATCAATTAAATAGACTCAGGCTGGAAAACAGCTCTCTCTCTATATATATATATATTTATATATATTATATATATATATATATATATATATATATATATATATCTATATTATATTATATATATATTATTTATATTATTTATATTATATATTTATATTATATATATTTATATTTATATATATATATCTATTTATTTATTCTCTATATTCTATTTTATTTATCTATATCTATTTCTTTATCTATCTCTATATATATCTATCTATCTCTCTCTTTCTTTCTCTCTCTCCTCCCCCCTCCCTCTTTCTTATATCTCTCTCTATCTATCTTCCTCTATCTATCTATCTCTCTCTCTCTCTATCTCTCTCTCTCTATATCTTTAGGGCTGTCAGTTGATTTAAATATTTAATCGCATGATTGTCCATATTATCGCAAATTAATCGCACATTTTGTATCTGTTCTAAATGTACCTTAGAGGGATATTTTTCAAGTTTTTAATACTCTTATCAACATATGAGTGGACAAATATGCTTTATATGTTTGTTTAATATCATTTGAACAATGACAAATATTCTCATGAATATTAAACACAACAACCTCTGAACATTACAAATATTCGCCTCAATTCAACCTAGAACCTCTCATAAAATACAAAGTGTGTGTGTGTGTGTGTGTGTGTGTGTGTGTGTGTGTGTGTGTGTGTGTGTGTGTGTGTGTGTGTGTGTGGTGTGTGTGTGTGTGGTGTGTGTGTGTGTGTGTGTGTGTGTGGTGTGTGTGTGTGTGTGTGTGTGTGTGTGTGTGTGTGTGTGTGTGTGTGTGTGTGTGTGTGTGTGTGTGTGTGGTGTGTGTGTGTGTGTGTGTGTGTGTGTGTGTGTGTGTGTGTGTGTGTGTGTGTGTGTGTGTGTGTGTGTGTGTGTGTGTGTGTGTGTGTGTGTGTGTGTGTGTGTGTTCGATCATGTAGCGCGTACTATCCGTGCTGACTTTTCGTACAATGTCCCACTGTCTGGCTACCTGCATAAAGTCAAGTGCTCGGCGCAGTTGTCGGCGAAATGTCCTTGAAACAGCTCCTTATATCCATTAGCGCAGCTAGCTAGCACCAGATGCTAACAACAACAACAACAACACGTAAGGTGTGCCTCGCTCGCGCGAGTCGCGCCACACATACACACTCCCTCCCGGTCCTGCCGGTGAGCGTGGAAGTGTGGTCTGCCACAAGCGGGCAGCAGGAGCGGGGCTGTCAGCATCAGCTTGTAGATGGTGTTTTAAAACTCGATGCGCTCTGAAACTACGGGGCGGGGCGTTATTAACGCGTTAACTTGACAGCCCTAATATATATATAAATAAATAAATATGAGCACACATTGTCTCACAAGCACAAAAAACCTCAACAGGCCATATCCAAATCTGTATTTCAAAGATTTTGAGCAAGGAACACCAACATGTTTGCATTGTCGGGCAAATGCATCTTTGATTGCAAACTGTCGGGAAGGTGGGGTCTCTCCATCTCCAGCTGCCGTGTTTGCTCCCAGCTGGGAACACGGAATGGGGTGGTTGTGTTTCAGGTGCAGTTTAAGGTTGGTCGTATTGCTAGCTTTTGTTGCTACCTTTTTAAAACAAATGCGTCACACCGCCCGGCTCATTCAAGTCCGTAGGTTCGCCTCGTTGATTTGGCTTAAATCCAAAATATTCCCACACCGGAGACGGAGTTAGGTTTTGCAACCACTTCCATTTAACTTCAAATTCCCCTCGAGTAAGTCACACGTTGTCCCCTGCTTGTCTCTATATTATTCATTTGGCTGCTACACTGCTGCACGCGGAGTGTCCTGACCTGGCTGTGTGTGAGCCCCTCACAGCGCGCCGGGCCGATTATTTTGTATTGATTCTCAAGAGGATTTGTTCAAATGGAGTAAAGCATGATGTTCTTTGTTTCAGATCTTGATGATGGTCGGCCTGCCCGCCTGCGGAAAGACCACCTGGGCCACAAAGTTTGCACAGACTAACCCTGAGAAGAAGTACAACATCCTGGGCACAAATGCCATCATGGACAAGATGAAGGTCGGTTGAGAGACCCCCCCCTCAAACTACACAAACATTCACACGGTTTTCCAGTCCATTGTATTAACTGAGCGTTTGCTGTGCAGGTGATGGGTCTGCGCCGGCAGAAGAACTACTCGGGCCGCTGGGACGTTCTGATCCAGCAGGCCACGCAGTGCCTGAACAGGCTGATCGAGATCGCCGCCCGCAAGAGACGCAACTACATCCTGGATCAGGTACTGCCCTCCCACCCACACTCTGCTCTGATAGTCGCCACAGTCAGTCTATGTGCCCTGATGATCACTCTCTCTAATGGTCTATTTATTTATCTTTCAGGGGGGCTGTGTGTATTATAGAGTAGAAGATCACCCTCTTGTCACTTGCTTGTCATGTATTGTAAAGGAAAAATGATGAATGGCTCTCATAAGTGGCAGAATACTCCATGTTTTTCATCCCTCAGTATATGCTATCTCTTGTCATAATACAGTATTGTTTGTGTTGTGAATTTCAACAATGTACAAGTAAACCATGACTATGTAAAGATGTTGAGAAACAAGTAAGCTCTGACTGGTGAGTAAGAAAAACACCTTCCGTTGCTAATTTAATAAGACAGGCTTTGTTTAAAAGCTATTTTGAAGTGAGATACATGGAACTGTTGAGTGTGTTTTTTAATAAATTGACCTTGAAGGTAAGTAATGACTAACCATTTTCAGATTTTTAGACGCTTGTGTTCTGCTAATGTGACAAAGGTAGGTGGGTCTCATGGCGGACATTCTTTTATCTGAGGACAATGTGAGTACAAGCAGGTAGGTTTTATTTGTGTGTTGTTGTTCACTGGGACTAGAGAACGTATGAAGATCAGGTAAGTGCGGGTAAGTGTGGGGGACCCTTTAGAAAAGCAAGGTTTGGACATGCGCTACTGTAGATAAGGGTTGGACTCTCCGTGCTAAAACCTTTGCTTTTTTCTATTTTTAGAAAGAGAAATCTTCCTGTGAAATGTAAGAATTGTCAGACGTTTGTCGATGTTATGAAAGAAGTATTTGGCATTACTTATACTGTATTTTTCTTATGTTCTAATATTGTTATGATATCAAGTAGTCAAGTCGTTTTGACATTACTAAAGAATTGCTTTTCTGAAACACTAAAATGCTAAATGTTGTAGGTCATGTAGTGTGGACTTTCTGATGGTGAGTGTTGGAACCAGCCGTTACTGGTGAGGGAGGCAGTGAGTGGATAACTGCTAGTGTTAGCAAAGTGTCTTTTTGATGGACTTGATGCTGACTTTACTCTAGCGCGATGTTGTACGAAAGGTGTTTTAAAGTCTGAATCTAACCTTTGCCTAATTAAGGGTTGTTTAAACACGCTGTTCCCAACTGCACATGTGAAACACCTGAGGATTTGTTAAAAGGTTTCATTCCACTTTCATTTCTTTGTAGACCTTCTACCAGTCAGTACATGTGTCAGTGAGCAGTTTTTACAGTAGGCTCTACAAGATATAGTGATTTTAAAGTGAGGCCAAATTACTGTAGAGATGGAACCAAAATAGAATCATAAATCATTTTATGCATATATTGCGTTTTATTCAACGTATTTGTTCCCAGTTATCATATTCCCCAGTAATGGCCAGTATTGCATGAAAATATATAGTATTCATAGTTTTCACAATGTGACCAGTAAAAAATCTTCTAATATCTCGCCATTTATGGCAAATATAAGTTTAACATCTAAATTGCATGTTTTGTTTTAGCTTTAGCCATATTTGTTCCTCTTTAATCAAGTGATATACGGAGAATTTGAACCAGTATTCTGGTTCTGAACCTGAATTACTGAACAATGTTGATTTGTAATCTTTACACACTGCAAGTGCATGGCTCATTTATTTAAATTGAGGTAGTGGGCAAAACGCTTACACTTACATGAGTAGTTGCTTATCATATAATACAGTAATAACTCTTAAACATAGTTACAAGAAGAACATTTTCACTGCGCAAAGGCATTATTAAGTAAGCACTTGAATATCCATTTGAATATTAATTTTGTATGATTGATCTGAAACTTGTATGTCTGTTGTTGCGTAACTTGAGCTAATGAACGGTACAGTCAGGATATTGTGGGGTCCCTCTTTGTGTCAGTATGTCCTCTTCCCCCAGAAGCCACTGTGTTGCTGTTTGGCTGAGTGTGAGGTAAGTCTGTGGAGTGACGAGAGGCCATTAGAACTTTGAGTAAAAAGCGTAGACTTGACATCCAAGCCAAACCTCTCTCACTTCATTATTGCAGGGTTCCAGCTTCCTTCCAGTGGAAAGCCAGTACAAGTAAAAAATAACAAACAAGCTTCTACTTCTTTCTTGTCACCATTGCTAGACAAATGTATATGGATCAGCAAGGAGACGAAAAATGCGTCCTTTTGAAGGTTTTCAACGCAAGGCTATTGTAATTTGTCCCACGGACGAGGATTTAAAAGAACGAACATTAAAGCAAACCAATGAGCAGGGGAAGGATGTGCCCGATCATGCTGTTTTAGAAATGAAAGGTAGGAACGCTGTGGAAACAACAAAACAAAAACACCAGATCTACTTTTTTTACTTTTCTATGTGTTGTCTCTAAAATCAAACTTGGAAGATGACCCTCCCTCCCTTCCTCCCTTCCTCCCTCCCCCTTCCCCTCCAATCATAGCCTTTGGCCAGATATCAGACCTTGGACATTTTATTTATTAACAGTCCACATGAATTTGATTCTTCCTTATTTTTGCCACCCGCTTACTACTGACGCACTGCAAACTGAGCCGCAGGCCTCGTAAAGGTCATGTAATAGCTAAACGCTAACATTGCACAATGTGCTTCCCCGAAAAACGACATTTCCAAATAGCAAACTTACAAGCAGTCACGTGCTGGAGTTGTTGGAAGTTCATTTGTAACGGCATTACATCAGCTGTCCTTGGTTTGCAGTGCTGTTTCCTCTTTACCTACCTTCTAGTGTTCCTTTTTGTCCCTCCTCCCCACCTCTACTGAGCTCCTCCCTCTCCTTCGTCTGCTTCATCAAATGTGTCCTCCATCTTCCCCCGGAGGTCATGTTAGTCCCCTTTACCCCCCACCCCCCCGCCATCTGCTGTCATCTACCTGCTCTGAATTTCTCTATGAGTCCTGCTGCCTCTGTTCGGTCCTAATTATTTTTCGTTTTGTCTTCCGGTGGTGTGGCTGCTCTGGTCTTCACTACAACCCTCCCCCTCTCTCTCTCTCTCTCTCTCTCTCTCTCTCTCTCTCTCTCTCTCTCTCCTCCTGGCCTCTCCATCCGTCCCTGTGCCGGATGGACTGACTCTCTCTCCTCCTGTGGTCACCTCTGTCACCCCCCCACAAGCCAACTTCACTGTCCCCGAGGCTTGCGACTTCCTGGAGGATGTGACGTTCGCTGAGTTGCAGCGTGAGGAGGCAGAAACTCTGCTGAAGCAGTACAACGAGGAGGGCCGCAAGGCCGGCCCGCCCCCTGACAAACGCTTCGACAACAGGCCGGGCGGGTTCCGGGGCCGCGGCGCTGCCGGGGGCGGGAGCTTCCAGCGGTACGACAACCGCGAAGCGTCCCGCGGTGGCTACCAGAACCGCAGCGGGGACGGAGGCAGCGGATACAGAGGTGAGCCGAGCGGTATGTTTATGTCCATGAAGCTGCAGTCTGAACGCTATGATTTGAGTTCATTGATACACAAGAGGTTAAAGCGTGAAAAGAGAGTGGTGCAGGGATTATGATGCATTTCCGCTGGGATATTTACTGATGTATTTAATGTCGTAGAACAAAACGTGAAAATCCCTTCAGCTTGTGTTAACATCAGATGTTTTTTCGGGAATCTAACAGTAAACCAGTTAAAAAGCCGTTGACTTGGAGACCAGGGAACAGAAAGTGGTCAAATGCTGACTCATTTCTGGGTTTTAGGACTCATTCCTGTACCACTCTGTACAAGACTTTGAAGGATGGATTTTTTTGTATTTTACACTAAGAGATGTATATTCCTATAATAACAGCATTTTTGTGTTTTTGCAGGCAACACTCGTGGCAGCTATAACCAGAACCGTTGGGGAAACCGCGACTCCGGCTCTGATGCACGTAGCAGCTACAACCGCAGCCAGCCTGCAACAGGAAGCTACAACCGCCCCGCTCCGTACAACAAGGGAGCATACAGCCAGGTAGCTAACGTGAAATGTTATCTATTTGATCTAAACAACAATTTACACTTAACATTATATTAATGTATTCTCCTAAATCTAACTCTCTTTAACCTCCAGGGCTACAGCCAGAGCTACAATCAAGGGTACAATCAGGGCAGCTACAACCAGAGTTACTATGGCAACTACAGTCAGTACCCAGGATACAGCCAGAGCTACAGCCAGACACCCACCACTGCACAGACATACAATCACCACCAGCAGCCACCACAGGCGGCGCCGGCACAGCAGCAGCAGCAGCAGCCGCCGCCAGCGCAGCAGCCCCAGCAGCAGCAACAGACGCAGAGCTACAACCAGCAGTACCAGCAGGTAGGCACCAACACCACCCGCTACACTGTCTGTAGTCGAGGAGATGGGATACTCGAACAACTGTTGGCTCGATACCCATTTTATAGTAACACAAAGAGTAGGGCTGCACAATTGGACTATGGACTAGTGCAATATTCAAATTGCAGTAAGCAGAATCATTGATAACAAATATTGATTATTCCAGGCCCACAAAACCGCATTCTACACACTTAATAAAACACTGTACACATCCACTTTTACACAATCACCCTGTTATCATTTTAATATATTTTCAATCATAATGTAAAAATGTTTTAATTCCCTCTAATATCCGCATCATATCGCAATAAAAATTGGTTTAGGTAGTATAAAATAATGTCATGCCTTCATTGACCGCAGCTGTGGGCTCACAATTGATCAGTATGAGCCGGGGACTCAGTTTATGGTAACACATTCTAAATAGTTATGGCAGTACAATACAGCACACCTTTCCATTTTCTATCCTGTATTTGTTAAATATACATGTTAAAAAAAGATTATACTACACCTCAAAAGCTTGCATTTTGGTGTATCAAGGTTAGCCCTGCATGCTAATCACAGGATACTGGGTTTGGTTAGAAGACATACATCTGAGGATTATACAACTAACCTTGTGAACCCAAAGGGAGGTGCAGACTATAGGAACACAGGGTCAGTTTGGGGTCAAATAAAATAAAAAAGCAGAAAGTAAACATGCTCTGAATACTGTTTCTATTCCTCCCTGCAGTATGCTCAGCAGTGGCAGCAGTATTACCAGAACCAGAACCAGTGGAACCAGTATTACAGCCAGTACGGAGGCTACCCTGGACAGGGCAGCCAGGGCTCCTCCGGCTCCCAGTAGCTCCACCCTGCATCTGTCCTGCATCCACCCGCGTCCTAAACACTCTGACCTCTGCAGCTAAATGGATTTTGTACAGTCCCGCAAATCGAGTCCCCAAACATCTGTCTTCATTCCACCAATCAGTGTACACCTAAAACTGTATGCAGTTTGATGTCTTTTTTTACTGAATGAAGTCTTACTCTACGCAGTGACCGTGAGTTGGTAGATGATAGGTATCCAAACATTTAATGAATGTTATCTATTATGCATTTAATGTGGACGTCCACATTTTCCAACAGATCAGAGAGGTAATTGTATATTTCTAGGATGCATCGTGTGGCAGGAAAAATACAGCAAGGCCTAAATAATTTCGCTTGTTTTGAGAAAGCTTAACAAAGAACAAAAATGCATGCTTTTTACCTTCACCACCCCTTCCCTCCGTCTCGCTCTATCTTTTTTCAGTTTCCGAGCTGGCACATTTGTATTTATCCCGATAAAATCCAAATATTTTTTATAGGTGTGATACTGTAGTATTTAATCCAGTCTTTGATTGGGAAGAATATTTTGCCACTCTTGAGTAGTTGTTTGTGCAGTTTTCTTTTTTTTACCCCTTTGTGATTGCTGTCCAGTAGTTTAAATCCAGTTGTGATTTTTTTTCTACCTGAAAATCTGATAATGACCAGTTACCCGAGCTGTCTTCTTGTCTTTATACAATAAAATGCCATTGTATACGCCTGGAGGTGTCATTTTCGTTTTTTCACTCAAACAAAACACACTGCATCACAGTTGGTATATCTTTCTTATTTTCAACAAGATTTACATTTTGGACAAAGGACAAACAGAAAGCATTTAGTTAATAGTAAAATGCACATTTTGCAGCACACACATAGTCCCAGTGCAGTCCTGCTGAACTGTTGACATTTGAAAGTCAAAAATGTCGTCGGGGCAGGAAATAAACGTTTTTTGCTGCTAGTTTCAGTGCTTTATGGGTCACACATCACAAGGTCCTTTCACTTTATGCTAACCAAACTAAGGGTTGGCGATATGGACGAAGTCTTTCATAGCATACATCGTTTTACATTTTGCTGGTAGCAATTAAAAATGTTGATCAACTCTTCCTGAATATGTAACCACAAAACGAACAGTACTTCCGCAGTTTATTTTACTAAAACGTTTGGATTTTTTTTAACAATCATCACACACCTCTTAATTGGAGTGTTGTCCTATTTTATAATAATTTATACGTTTTTCCACCTTAAAGAGTTCGGCGTGCAAAGTCTTTAGGCGTGGACTACTAAAACACGTCAAGTTTTGTGACAACTGCACCATGTCCACTGGAGATAACAGCAATATTGGGTTTCATGGCGAGTAATGTGTCGCCATGGAAACGGCATATGATGACGCTTCAGATGTGTTGTAGAGCTTTTTAGGGCACAATGTTTAACAATCATTTGTTGGGCTGTTTGGAGCATGTCCACTGGAGTTATTACATCATCGTGTCTCATTGGGGGGTGACATAGTCACCATACGAGTCATTTACTTATATCTCAATATAGCAAACGAGCCTCATCCACTGGATTTTCTTGACATTTCCATTTTATGTTAGCTTCTTGGTTTAGATTCCAGGAAGTGAAATAGATAGTAACTCATACACGGGATAGCAATTTCCGCACAAAGTCTCTCATGTATATCCTTTCAAATCACCCAACCTGAGGCTCAACAAACAAATGTTAATGTTTTTCTGGCATACTTTCCGAATTCATGAGCAGAGTTGTAGTAAAGTTGCCAAATGTAAAAGCTTAGTGTTCATTTCCTACCCTGTGTATATTTTGTGTAAATAGGACCCTTATGTCTGTTATAAGTGGCCTTATACAGTCTTAGCACCAGTGAAGGAAGGCACCTATTCTGAAAAGAAATGAGGTGTATATGAATTACAGTAAGATGATCAAAAAGCAAAACCAACAAGACGGACAAAAAACAAATAATAAAAACAACCATATTTGATGGAGTCCATTCATATGACCGCTGGTATTCTGATGCTAACGGACAGTTCATCAGTTCAACACCATCAGACAGCTTGGTCAGAAAGGCGGTGCTGTCTGGATGTTTTTTTTGTCCATGAGTGGGAAATGTTTCTGGAGGTGGAGCGCTCAGTCTGGCTCTCTGCTCTTGTCTTTGTAGAGATGCATCTCCTCCATCTTCTCCTGCAAGAAGGAAACAGGCATGGAGCACCCCCGGGTTCTCTGTGAGTTCACCTGGAAAACAGATAAGGCAAATAAAGATGTATTTAATTGCAGAAACAACATTTCACTTTCAAGTGGGATATCAGTGTCTCATTTGACACTAGTTGAGATATGGAAAGTCTTTGTTTTATCTGCAGAGAAAATAGTTTACACGGTGATGTGTGTAAAACAAAGACTTGTCAGGAACTCATGATATCAAAATCATTTGAAATTTGTGATAATGATACAAAGATTTTACAAATACACAGTGGTGCAGTAATGAGTCCTAAAACTCGGAAATGAGTCTGCATTTTACCAATCCCGGACTTCATCACAGTTTTTTTATCTGATTTTGGTTAGATGTCTGCAATAAAGGGTGTTGTGGTGAACACGTTTTGTTCTATGTACACACTACAAAATCCAATGGATAAGTCCCATTACATTTTGTGAAAAGCGCTTGCAATGCTAACTTCCAGGTCGGTCTACCAAAATACGTCATCACTACATCACTCCGTTACACGCTTTAAATGACTTTCAAATAACAGCAAAACTGTTCATTTTCACCAAATGAATTTAACCTAGGCTACATATTTTACAATGTGCTTGACCGTAAGCAGTATTGGTGATCCGCATGTAGCTCCTGTAATAGCAGCTTAAAGTAAATCACTGCTGGAAGCTCTAACGTTGTAGCCCCTAGTGATGGGAATTATGGCTCTTTGAAGGGAGCCGGATCTTATGGCTCCGTTCCTTTGCGAGAGCCGTTCAAAAGAGCCGTTTTTTTTTAAGGGGGCGGGGTTAATAGGCTTATCTGCAAAATATACCTTTTATAATTCAATCAAATTTAGCCCTGTTTTGACTAATGATTTATATGTGCACACATATCACTTAAATCATTGCATTTACAGACCCTTGTAACTCTCTGATTGTAGAACCACGCTAAAAAAAGAAGAAGATAGCAACACTTATACAAACGGACAACAAATCTTTGCTGAGCCTAAAAATAATCATAAATAAATAACATAATGAAAATAAATATATTGCAATGCTCAAAACAGCAGCATCTAACAGTCTCTAATCCTTGGATATTACATGTCACTGCATGCATGCATGGAGCACCCGTAGCGCGGAGATCATCATATCATTCTGTCTGGTATTACTTAAAGTGGACCTATCATGCTATATTTAAATGATATATTGTAGGGCCATACCTATATAAGGTATATTTATATGTTTCTGTTTTCAAAATACCAAACGGATCATGCATTTTAGCCATGCCTAATTTCGCTCTGTGTGTTGTTTGCTGTCTACGGGTCTGATTCTGTGAGCTGCAGCGGACCACGCCCCCCTGCAGGAGAGGGGAGACATGCTCTGATCAAGTCAGAAGAGGGGGAGAAAAAGAGATCTCCGTCCTCCGTGTTATTATAGGCCTATAGAGTCGTTATTCATTTGTTTTAAAGCTCAATAAATAACAAAGAAGACCTTTGACCGGCACTTTTCAAATTTTGTCCGGAAGATTTAAACTTTAACGGACATCTTGACCGGCGAAAGAAAACCTAACTGAAACTCTGCCGCACGGTCCCCTCGTTCCTTGGAAGAGGCGGAGAGGTGGGTGTTTGTCATCTGCTGGTGGACTAACCGGAGAGAATTACAGTGCTTGCCTCGACGGGGAGGGATTGCATTGAATTAAAGCAGCGGGAGCAAACGCTTGCCTTGGGGAGGGAGAAAAAAAGCCACAGCGGAGAATAAACAGAAGGGTAACCATGGCAACCATATGCGCGGGAAGTCTTCTTCGCTGCTTTTGTGGCAGACTACAGCGCGACTTACAGGCCTGGCATATGTACTACAGCGTCTCCAGCGCTTTCGAGCGGCAATGGCCGGCCGTGGCCCAACCCCACATTCCCCTGATAGGTGGAGAGTTGGCCCAATAGCCGTAGCGCCACCGTCCTGACGTCAGGACAGTGTTCAAATCTGGATCAGTTTTTATCAGATCTGTTGCAGCCCCTTTTTTAGAGATTTGGGTATGGAGGAAAATAGAGAGGGTTGTGTTTTCTGACACTTGGTGAGTTCCCTGGAACACCGGGGACACATATTCATGTATAAAAGACGTACAAAAGTGCATTTTGCATGATAGGTCCCCTTTAACAAAAAAGAAAAGAAAAAAGAAACGGCTCGTTCGCGGGTGCGAGCCGGCTCCCGTCGTTCACTTAAAAGAGCCGGCCCGTTCGCGACCGACACATCACTAGTAGCCCCACATTGAGTCACTCCAGAGATCAAGACTGACATACTGACATGCTGATATTTATAAGCTAGACAAAAACAGAGAAACCCACCTTGCAGGGACTCATGTCCTGTCTCCTCTTTCTCTCAGGGGATGTGTGAACAAGCGAGTTGTGGTGGACTCCTCTCCTGTCCTTCTTCTCGGGGGTCCAAACTCCAGGGTCCGTCTGAGTGGAGCAGTCAGACGACATGGAATCACTGCTGTTGCTTTTCCAAAGAGCGGTGCCCTGGTGGTTTTCTGTCTCGTTACTTTGGGGGAAGACAAAGGCCTCCTCTTCTATATCTGCTAGGGAACAAAACATAAAGACTTCAGTGTCAAGGTCATCTTATAGAGAGGGAATGTTTGGGTGTTGTGCGTACGATAGAGAAAGGACTTACTCCAGGTGTTACCCTTGATTCTGGTGTCGGGAGCTGGGGTGCAGGGGCACGACCCGGTGGTGTTTTTATGTTTCTTTAAGCAAGCTATTTCCACCAGATCTCTACAGTGCCTGTGGCAGTTTATCCCACAGTCTGAGAGAAGGAAAAAACATGGACAATAAAAAAAAAAGCATTACAGCTTTACTCCTGATCTTGATAACTCTGTGGACGTATGAAATTATGGATTTTGATCTTACCTTTACAATGGTATCCTTGTTTGATGACTCCCCACAACTACAAGAGAACAGACAGGACACATGTCACACTTCAGTTTGATTTGGTAATTTAAAAAGAAAAAAAGGATATACCGGTTACTCACAAAGCCTCCACAATTCTCGCAAAACGTCGGCCGCTTGTACGTGGTTTCGTGGAAGTTATGCGTATTGAAGCTGTAGCCCAGCTTGGCACATATCGACATTCCCCTCATGAAGTAAGAGGTGATTTCTTCATGGCTGATTTCTCCCTCCCTGGGCAGAACATTCCCCAAAATGTAACATCAAAAAGTGAGGTCGTTTTTTTACAAACAGCTCATGCTGATTTGTGGTTTTACATCCGACCACGTCACTGCGAGATGCCCTTCCTCACCTGTCAGCTTCGTGAGTGCAGAAGGAGAAGGGGAAGTTGGCTGCTATTTTCTCAAAGTCGTCCAGCGAGATGTATCCATCCTGGTTCTGGTCGTAGTTTTTCATGATGGACTGCAGGGGGCGACAGAGCAATCAGACAGTCAGTTGAAACAGTAGAGGAGCAGTTGGTTAGTTCTGCTTTGTCCTGCCATGTAATAAGGAAGTGAAAAACAGGAGGTTGTTGCAGAGTCACAC